GGAGTAGTGCTGGCCCCCATTGGAGCTGCTTGCACACTGCCAGGCTCGTGGCACCACTTTGGATGGGCTACAGCCAAGAGCATACTGTAGGGGGCAGGACCACAGGAGAACATGGGGGCAAGGTGGGCAGTGCCAGCAAGGTTTGCACAGGTCTGCTGTGGGAGGGGACCTGGAGCAGAGGACTGGCTGGTGGATGTATCTGCAGGGGAACCTGGGGGCTGGGCACACTGTTAGCAAATTGGGGAGTGAGTGTTGGCATAGCACTTGTTCCTGTAGGTGTCCATGTGGCTAGGCTGGGGGCAGGAAAGGGAAATAGCACCTACCAGCCCCTTTGTTCCTGGAGAAGCCTCCTAAAGAACCCTGCCCCTCTAGTACATTCTCTGAAATTGGTAAACTGACATCCCTCCAGTGTACCCCAGGTGTTTTTCTAATTGCTGCTCCCATGCTGTGTCTCCATAGAGCTGTTTGCTGTGCTGTCTCTTTAAGGCCAGGGACTTGGTTTCCTGTGACTCTCCTGGAGCCTGCTGATTTTTAAATTCCAAGTGGTAATCCACACTGATTATAAGAATTCACAAAATTCAACCTCTCTGGTTTTCCAAGCCAAATGTTATAGGTATTTGTCTTCCCCTGGTGGGCTCTTCTGTGTCAGAGCCTGTCTCCCTACCTTCTCCACACCCACAGCATCCTTCCCTCCTGATGATAGTCTCATGGGTCAATTTAGGTCCCAACCATGTCTCTGTCCTTCCCACCCTCTTTGACGTGGTCTCCTCTACATTTAGTTGTAGAGAGTCTGTTCTGTCAGTTGTTGGGTCATTTTCTGGGTTATTTACACTGATGTGGGTATTATCTTGCTGTATCTGTGGGACCAGGTGAGCTTAGGGTCCTCCTGTTCCATCATCTTCCTTGGCAGTCACCTGCTTAGAGTATCGTTAGTCACATATGCTAATGTAAGCTTTTTCTTATCACCCCCACTCCCATCCCACAGGTATGAGGCAAAAGAATATTATGAGGCACTTCCAGAGCTGAAGCTGGCGATCGATCAAATTGACAAAGGCTTCTTCTCTCCCAAACAGCCTGACCTCTTCAAAGACTTAATCAACATGCTATTTTACCATGACAGGTGAGTTCCCACAAGAAGATGATGACATTTCAGCCATGAAAAAGGTACAAGAATATCTTAAACCAGCTGTAACATACCTGTGTAATTAGCATAGATTTGTGATCTGAGAAGCTAACCTATTCTTAGAAATGTTAGATATTCTCTACTAACCATGCTAGGAAGGTTTAAGACCCACAAATCTGGAACTCTTTTTCTCTTTCCATTGGTATACCTGGCTTTCAGAAACATCATATGCTGACATTCTTATCTGTGGGAAGAACCATATAAAGGTTGTGAGGGCTAGTTGCGAATTGAAATGTAAGTTTGGTGAACTAGCCATGCCTGACATTAAGTAAAACAGAATTTTAAGTGGAATCTTAGCACACATATTTTAATGACACTTTTTGTTGGTTTGTGTTTTCCATCCAATCACAAAAAAAACAGGTTTAAAGTCTTTGCAGACTACGAGGCCTATGTCAAGTGTCAAGAAAAAGTCAGCCAGCTGTACATGGTAAGTGCATTGATGAGACCTATAAAGGAACCCAGTTTACTATGGTTAAAATTTTTGTTTCTTTTTATTAGATCTAAATAATAGGGCCGCATTATCAATCCAAAAAGAGAAATGAGACAACCACCTAGGTTATTCAGATCAAAACTTGACTTTTCCCACGTTCAGGCAGAGGCTGGGATTTGACATGTTAAGCAGCAATTGTACATTTTTTAATATCCAAGTAAAAATATCACAATTCAATGTTTATTAAACACTCTCCATATAGCAGGCATGGCCTGGAAGCTAAGGTTATAAAGCCAAGTCAAATACACATTTTACCCACTCGTTTATTTGACAGAGAGGCTTTGGGAACACCTCAGTGGCAGGCAATGGACTGTGTGTCACACTCACTGGAGCAGCTTCTCCAAAATACAGCTGTCAGCCCCGCTCTGAGATTGTGACCCAGTAGTGGGTGGAGTCACCATCAGTGTCTGAAAACTTGCTAAGATGATTCTCAGGCTGAGCCCCAGTTAATTAGGATAAGGACTGACCCATAGTCTAGGAAAATTGCACAGTAAGTACCTCTCCTGGACTACCCATGGAGCAGGGCTATCTAGAGGATACAAACATAGAGAAAGAGGGGAGGTTTTATATTCAAATTTAAAAGAGGAATAGGGGCGCCTGGGTGGCTTAGTCGGTTAAGTGTCCGACTTTCGCTTGGGTCATGATCTTGCGGTTCGTGGGTTCGAGCCCCGCGTCGGGCTCTCTGCTGACGGCCAGCTCAGAGCCTGGAGCCTGTTTCAGTCTGTGACTCCCTCTCTCTCTGACCCTCCCCTGCTCAAGCTGTCTCTCTCTCTCCTAGAAATAAATAAAACATTAAAAAAAAAAACTAAACTAAACATTAAAAAATATTTTAAAAAAATAAAAAATAAAAAAGAATAAGAAAGACTACTTTACTAAAAAAAAAAAAAATCCAGAGCCATGTGAGTAACCGTTCGTCACATGCAAGGTTATACATCCTCATCAAATAGCCCAGCCCTCCAGGAGCATTTAGTAAATGCTAATAAATATGGAAATTTAGTAAATATGGAGAGGTTGATGGTCTGTGATAAGAAAGACTTTCAGTAATTGCAGGCATTACAGAAAAGTAGATCTAGGAGGAGGCTGGCTCTGTGCCTGGACTCCAGGATGGTTTCCTTGAGGTCGATGCCCTTGAGCTCTCTGGGCATAGTTGCCCTTGCCCGGATGGTCTCCTTTTCTGCCCCTTAAGTCAAAAGCCATTATACAGCAGAACAGCCAGGTTCCATAGAATGTTCTCCTGCACTCTGGACACATGACTAACTACTTTTAACAAAAACATGTTTCACTGACATTTCCTTCTATTCCTCTCCCAAACCAGGTGACAGGGTAGTTCCTATAGTTATCCCACAGGTTCCATTGGGTTTTTGGTTGTTGTTTTTTTTTTTTAATTTTTTTTAATGTTTATTTTTGAGACCGAGAACACAAGCTTGGGAGGGGCAGAGAGAGAGGGAGACACAGAATCTGAAACAGGCTCCAGGCTCTGAACTGTCAGCACAGAGCCCAATGCAGGGCTCAAACCCATGGACCGCGAGATCATGACCTGAGCCAAAGTCAGACACTTAACCGACTGAACCACCCAGGCACCTCTCCATTGGGGTTTTAAAATACGATCAAAGCCCATGCTGCTTTACAGACCTTATCTTCTGGTAGAATCATACCCAGTGCCCCAAAAATGTATAGACCACAGTAAATTCCAGCTAATGGCTCAAGCAAGGAGGGGCAGTCCTTAAGTTAAGCTGAGTGGCTCTCTGCCTGCCTCCAAGAACTAAAACAGACGAAAGAAAGTGGCCAACTCTAGCTCTTTCCTCTTGATCTCAACTCATGCTGTGTGTAGAATGGCTACAGAGGAAACAAAGTATAAATATAGCAAGAAAGGAAATTATGAACAAGGGCAAGGACAAATGTGAATGTCAGTTTTGCACAGTGGATCTCTTTTGCTAATGTTCTGGCCCAGATCCAAAGATGCCTGTCTCAAAGCCCAGCATTTGGTTCAATCTTTCTTGTTCATTAGTGCAAATTGCAGTTTTTACTCTTAACAATAATCATATTGTTAGGCTTAGAAACATGTTGGGAAGTCTATTCATTACCCATTTAAATAGTTAAGGTGAAAAAAGTTTTTATTTTCCTCTTAGTAAGTTTTCAAAGTCTGAATAAATGAATTTTAGGCTCTGTTTTTCAGTACCTTATGGAATAATGGAAGTTTTAGTTTTTCTTCTAAATGCTTTAGTGCATTGCTAATGGCTTTGAGTTATGCTCTGGTCATTTTTAATGAACCTTTAGAGTTTTTTACAAAATCATGAGGGTGTAAAATAAAGAGCTTCTTATATTCTTTTATGTAAAAATTATAAAATTCAGATATTATATATTTTATTAAGGATTAGGCCTTAATTGATCCTGTTTTGAAATCCCAATGGAACATTTGGGATTCAGTATAAATCTACTGAAGCATCTTCCTTCAGAAAGAACAAAGCAAGAAAAGTAGGTCAATAAATTCTCCCTTTAGATTATTTGCTGCACAACAGCTGTCCTTCTGCAGTAGGGTTTTTCAGACTATGATGCCAGCCACAGGTTAAATCTCTCGTCATGGCATCTAGCAAACAATGAATATGCCATCTAAGGGGAGGTGAAATAAAAAAAGCATGGGAAATATGGCTTGCATGCCAAAACACAGTAACCATAGGAACAATTACCAATTAGGGAATTTATATCCATGGTTTCTCTTAAAATAAAAAATACTTTTTTTTCACTTTTAAATATACTCTAAATAGAAGAACAGCACAGTCTGCCCTATCCAGCTCGCAACTGTGAAACAAATATATTTCTGATTCTCCACAACTTACTCTTGTCATTTTCTCCATGAAATGTGCTTGGATATACTTGGTCTAGCATTTGTCATAAAGTTTGATGGGCACTTAGGCTGTGGCCCATATATGTGTACGTGTTGTTTACAGAATCCAAAGGCCTGGAACACAATGGTACTCAAAAACATAGCCGCCGCAGGGAAATTCTCTAGTGACCGAACAATTAAGGAGTACGCCAGGGACATTTGGAACATGGAACCTTCAGATCTCAAGATTTCCTTATCCAGTGAATCTAGCAATGGGGTGAACAAAGCCAATGGAAAGTAAGTTGTAAAATGTCTCTAGAAACAAAATAGCGTCTTACTGGATTTAAACACTTTTACAACATTCTTGAATTTTGTTTTGTTTTGTCAGCTAATAATCTAGTTAAGAATTTCTGGGCACTGGAAGGAAAGTATATGACTGTATTAGGGCCAAAAATAAAGTGTCAATTGACAAGGGCTACATGCGTGCCAAAACTTGTTATTTGATGGCAGATTGAGTAGTATGCTAGAACTTTCCCCGGTACTATTCAGCTAGAAGGTACTTGGAATGTTTTTAATTCCATTTAAGTTTTCTAAACTGAAACTAGTTATTTAACTACATTGGAGCACCTTCCTTACACTTTTTTAAGTCCCAGCCACAGGCCACCTTATTCATAAATCTCCCCAGAATGTTTAATAACCACACATTTTTAGATGGGATCCAAATTTTACCAAATTCTAATGATTCTCTATAGTGAGGTTTCAGTTTGTTCCACAAAGGAAACTGAGATCAGCTAAGTGAGAACTTTCAAAACACCTAGCATCTGTGCTTTCCATCTTTACTAAAATGGCAGGTGACCTGTAGAAATGTCAGTGACTTCAGCTTATCCAAGCAGCCCAGTGCAGTTTCACATAAAAAATATATACCATCGGTGATGTTCAGACCAAGCCTTCGCTGCAGGTTTCCATCACTCTCAGCCCTCATGCCCACTGTTTGCTCAGGAAATCTCTGCAAAAGAAAAGACCTAGTTCAGCTCCCTTGCCTTCTCTACTTCCTGGTCTATGTAAGCCACAGCAGCCCTAATTAATTGCCTTTAAGGGAAAGATAATCACATGTAGCAAAGCAACTCTTACCTCACAGCTCTTAACAGCATGGGGCTTTTACAGAGCAAGTTATGGTGGAAGCCGGGAGGGAAGATCACCATCTTGACCCTCTCTTTGTTCCTGTATGCATTATGTGCGATTTCATAGAGCTGCACAGGACAGAAAGACAGAGACTCAAAGGCTGACAGTCAACGGTGGTGTTTTTCTAGTTTAATTTTTCTAAGAGGGTACAGAGGCAGCCATCTTGGGGAGGCAATCTCATTAAGTCAGAGATAAGGGAGCCTCCACTCCCTCCCCCAGCTGGCTGCCTCTGCAAGTGAGGAACTGAAAGCTGCACAGCCGACACGGAACAGTGACAGGACCTCGTCCTTCTCCGCCAGCACCCTCCCTGCACCGGCACAGGAATGCAACGGACCAACTCTGTTTGTTGACATCCCATTTTTAGTGCCGTTTGTGGGAGAGACTACGTGGAGGTTCCCATAGCGGCGTGGGATCTTTAGAGAAAGATCCACAGATGACGAACCAGGGTCCACCACAAACACTCCTTCAGCTAAGTAGCACAGCACACTAATGCTTCTTTCACGCGCCAGGCAGCACAGCTATTTAGGGGTGTAGAGAGTCCCTCATAATGTCACAGACCCTCCTGTGGGCTCTCATCGAAGTGCGGGTAGATGAGAAAATGGTGAGATAAGTATGGTATGTTTTAGTCAGCACTGGGCTTAGTTTACCTTTTTTCCAAACTCCAACGGCACCGTGTTGTCATCCTCACCATGTAAGATGAGAAGGGGAGAAGACAGGAATTTAACACTAGGGACAAGTAGAAGACAACATTCGATTCAAGAATTATACGTTGGGATTTCTCTTCTGAGTTAAAGCTTTAGCGAAACATGTGGTTTGCCTTAAAATACAGGATCTCTCCTTCCTTCCCTCCCAGGAATGGCAACTTCATACATAATAAGCTTCATATAGTAACTGTTTCTTTCCAGACAAGATTATCTCTCTTCTGTTTACTCAGACAGTTTAATTAGGTATTTAATTTCACTTATTTCTATATGATTTTTTTTAATAATGAAGAAGAAAAATATGAAAAACACTGGAATATTTTAATTAAAAGACCATGTTAAAGAAAATAAAACAACTCAAAACCCAGAAATAACAAGAACCACCACAGGACTGAAGAGAACTCTTTGTAACAATGTATTTACTTTTCCCCATAAAGAAAACGTGATCAACAAGTTTAATCAGCTTCCTGGTCAACCTCATGGTTTTTATAACAAGAAGACTTGTTACTCACTCTAGCAACTTCCTCAAACCATACTTCCCAAATTCTGATCCCCATCCACCCCATCCCAGTGACTTGCTGTTACTCCTGGGAAGGTTAGATCCCTAAGGTGTGCTGACCTAGAGAAAGAACGGACAACAATGGCCCAGTTGCAGGCACTCTTACATTCTCCAGCTGCAAGAGGCTAACCTGCCAAATTTTGGTCATTAGACTCGCTTTGGGTCAGTGGGCTGGATGGTGGGTGGGCTTTGGTTACACGGGGAATGAGGCCTAGAGGTCAGGGATCCAAGTAACGTTAGGCTAAACCCCAGAGCTCCTTTAAAAGGTCCTGATTTCTGATAGATGCTAAATCTACAACTCCCTTTATAACTTCAGAGAAAGTACTGAATTGGTGAAGTCATCAAATTAGACATGGGGAAAATATCAGATACTAAAAATCTGTGGACATATTACCCCCAAAGCCTAGTGCCCGTCTAAAAATTCTCATCGACCCATTCAGTAAGTCACATGATTATTTACCCCGCCCCTCCCCCACCTAGAATCCCACAGATATAGTTATAAGGGACATCTTTTCATCATTAGCTTACTTTTCATCATTAGGGAAGACTATTTCGTCTTTTCTCAGGGCATCCATAAGTGTGCGTAAAAATCTTGGAAGTTTCCGATAAATCTATTTTTTAAAAAGGAAAAAACATTAATACATGGCCTATATCTGTGTCATTTATTATGGTTTCCTACATGAACTATAGTAATGTAGAGAACAGCAACTTTCTACATATAATAATAAAAAAAAACCCTCATAAATTTAGAAGTAACTCATGTCATTGTAGAAAAATTGGGAAAATACCAAAGGAAGAAGAAACAAATCACACATAATCCCCATTATCCACAGCTAATCACAGATAACCACAGATAACATTTTGTTGTTTCTGCTTCCTATCTTTCTTTAAAATACAAATAGCACCACTATTTTTCTTCACACTTGTAAAGAAGCAGTGATATCCATAATCTAAAAATTGCTTCTATGGTGAACATAATTTACTGGTTTAGTTGTGAAACAGAATATTCTGATTGTGAAAAATTCTGATGACAGTATACAATACGTAGAAAATTGGTTTTAAATTATTGAAACATTAGAAACATTAGAAATTTAACGTTGCAGTACTTTAAAAGGGCATTTTAGGTTTTAACAAATGACCACAGGACTCCAAATATAAAAATTATCATTCTAAACATACTAAACATACTGAATTTCCTCTTGAGTGGCAAATTATAGTAAATAGAAGGCTAGCCTAATTAGCTTTTACCACTTTTTTTTATTAAGTCAATAAGTAAATTTTTTATATGTCCCAAAAAACATCCATTTCAACTGAATATGAGGAAAAGACAGGAACCCCGAGCAATAATATTGTACCTTCGTCACAGAATTCCAACCCTGCCTCCAACCTGTATCCCCAGTGCATTCATTTCCCTTCCACCCCACTGCCACCCAGCCTGGCCTACCCCCGCCTCTTGCCTGGATTGTGCCAGTGGTCCTGTGTGGCTCCCTGCTTCTACCCTCAGGCTGCTAGAATCCAGTTCCCATGAGGAATCCGGAGCTGTGGTTTTGATATGCAGCTTGTGTCACATCCCTCATTTGTTTCACATTTTCCAAAGGCACTACCTTGGCCTTCAAGGCCCCACAGAATGTGGCTGCTGCGTCTCTGCCCTCTCACTAAGCCCACTCCTGCCCGCCCTCAGGCCCTGCTGCCCTCGGTTCCTGGAACATATCAGGCTTGAGCCCACCTCAGCTCAAGACCTCCAGATTTTCCAATGACAGCCCCTAATCCTGCAAGTCTCAGCTCAGATGACAGTTCTTCAGAGAGGTTTTCTCTACCACCCGCCACCTCCCCACCACCCAGTCACTCCTTGTCACAGTGCTGCTCACTCCTGAGAATCAGCTTAATGTGTACTCGTCTTCTCTCTGTCTCTCCAGGAAGTATATATACTTCCTAGGAGGTCAGGACACCATCTGCTTCCAACCTGTGGTATTCTCAGACCTAGAAACGTTCCCGGTACCTAGCAGATACTCGATAACTACTTGCTAAAGATGGAATGAATCTACTGTGCAAATATCCCTGGCATACACTGTAAGCTATTATCTGTCATTTTCATCTTAGTGTGACTTGAATTTCATGCAGTTTTTATTCCTTGGAATAGATTTGCTAAGAGAAAAGACCAGAAGAGCATCACGTGTATTCCTCTGTTGTGCCCACAGGGGAGTGGGGAGGAAAGGGCAATGTAATAAATGGGGCACTGCCAAAGAAAGGAGATGGGTAGATAGGTAGGCTGGGGTCAGGAAAGACAAACGGCTGCTTCACAGTTTAGAAAGAAAAGAATAATATTCATTGTAGAAACAATTTTTAGGTTCTGCATATCACTGCCCCTTTATGATATGGAGAAACTAGAGTTGGCAGCCAGCATATATCATTTGTTGTAGTCTCTTGCTATAAACTGTAGTGATAGAGAACAGCATGTTTCTAAATATAATGAACTTAAAAAATGTGTTTTCCTGATTCTAAACAGTAATTGTCATTGTAGAGAAACTGGTACCGAACAGGTATGCTGGGTCCAGTATAGACTAACGTCTGCTTCACACTTTTGGTGTAGGCCTGCTGTTTTCAGAAAACTTCCATGTTTTCATGGGATTTGTCTGGCTTGAATGGTCTCATGGCATGTGATTTGCATCCAGCTGCAACCTGGAGGTCCTAATGCCCCTTTTTCTTTTTCCCTCCTCTTACCCATAACTAAGGGCAAGATTTCTTGTTTTGTTTTCTTTTGTCTTTGTCTTCTGATTCTGCCATCCCTGGGATCAGGACTCCTCTGAGAGGAATTCAGTAAGAGAAGCCCTTCAGCAGTTCATCTCAAAGTCCAAAGGCTTAAAAAGAATGGTGGCCCAAGTCAGTCTACTCTAATTCTTCCTTACCAGCCAGAGGTGCCTCTTGAAACTCAGGGGTCATCCCATCCCTTCCAGCCCAGACTACAGTGATGGGCATCTAACTGGTCTTCCTGCCTCCTCTCTTCTGGAATGCCACCAAGTTAATGTCCTTCAAAGACCAGTTATGTGAAATGTATGGTCACAAAAGCTTTGGCAGTACCACACAAGCTACTTAAAAACAAAACAAGGAACTCTTATCTTGGCTGCAGCCCATCCACATCTGGCCACAATCTTTCATTCCACAGACTGCACAGTTCCAATCTATTCTCTTGGAGTTAGAAGATGTAGGACTGAGTCCCATTTCCTCTTCGTATAGGGCATGTGACAGTTGGGCAAGCCTCTGAGCCGCCATTTCTCTCAGCTCTAAGTAGAGGCAGTGATACCAAAGTCAGTTGCTATGAGGATTTAAAAGGATGACAAGTGTACAAGACCTCTCCTGGAAGCCTTCTATAACTCTCAGGTATTTTATAACACAAAGTTGCCTCACTCCACCATGTGCCTTGGCTTACATTCTCCCCTCCTCTCTGTGTTTCCTAACTGCTCTCCCTTACCCTCAAGAAAGGAACTTAGAGCCTATCTTATGGTCTTCACTGACCATACCTGCACACGAGACCCTTTTCTTCCCTGAATTCTTCCATCCCTGAAATTATTGTTCTGGGTCCCACACTAGCACTTACATTAATCTACTTTGCAGTAGAAAACATGGGAAAGGAAAACGTACATTGTTTGAGTGCCCACTAGCAGCTGGGTACTTTGCAGTGATTATCTAACTTAATTTAATCTTCTAAACAAACATAGGCAGTATCAATCCCCTTATGCAAAAATGGGAAAACTCCAAGAAGGGAAATGACTTACCAAGGTCATAATTGTTAATGGCAGAAGCCAAATTTCAGCTCAAATTTGTCTGGCTCCTCAGCCTATGCTCTCTTTTCCACTGTGTCACACTGCCTTCCAATTTTGACTAATGAAATTGATTCCAAAGTGACATTTGGAAATCCTGCCATTACTTTATATCCACTATTAATTTCCTGTCTCCCCAACTAGACAGGAAGCTTCCTGGGAGTGAGGACCCATGCCTTTTATTCTATTCGTATGTCTCATACCACCTACAGTTTCTTATTTAACAGTCATGTTCAGAGTAATGAATGGCACTGCACTGATAGGAAAATAGTTAATGGTCACTCAATGCTTACTTTGTCCCAGGAACTATTATAGATGCTTTTCACATAGTAATTTATTTATCACAATAATCTGGAATAGGTTATTATTACCCCCATTTTATAGATATGGCGATTAGAACATTAAAAGCAATTAGTCCAAGACTATACAGCTGTTACATGACAGCCTTGGAAATCAAAGCCAGCAAGTCTGACACCAGAGCTATGGTTCTTAAAGTCAACATGATACTACAGAACTCCTACACTTCTAAACCATAAATGTGGCTATTAAACTAAGGTTATATGACATTTTTAATTAAATTTCAAACATAAAAATATTGCAAGATTCCGAGCTTCTAATAATAGAAGAATTGTTACAAACCAAACCTTTTGCCCAAGATAACTAGAAAAGCTAGAAAAAAATATTTTAAAAACCTTTCAGTGCAGATGTCAGAGACCTACCAAGGCAGTGAGATCTTGAGTGGTCTAGATCCCAGGGAAGAGGGACTCTCAGAGAGGTGAAACTGACATTCAACACCACTTTTCTCCTGGAGACATAGCCCGAAAGTCAGGAGAAAGCAAAACCGTAGAGGCAAAAGAACACAAATAGAAACAGATGACACAAATAGAAAACATAGTAAGAAAGTAGATTTAAACCTAAGTATATCAACATTACATTAAGTAGACTAAATACTACAATTAACAGACAAGAGTTGTGGTATTGGAAAAGAAATCAAAACCCTACTATACGCTGCTAACAAGAGATATTTGTTAATTAAAAGATTTCAGAAAAGTTTAAAGTCAAGGGATAGAAAATGATACATCATGCAAACACTATTCGAAATAAAGGTATATTAAAATCAGACATGGACAAAGTTGGCTTTAAGTCAAGAAGCATTATTAATCAAAAAAGGGATATTTCATGATGAAAAAAGGATCAATTCACATGGAAGATACAAAATTACGATATTACTAGATGTATCTTCCTAATAACATACCTTAAAAAAGCTAGAGCAAAGATTGACAGAACTAGAATAGAAATTAACAACTCCAAATGATGACGAGATATTTTAATACTCTTCCCTGGGTAACCAATAAAACAACCAGTCAAAAAATCAGTGAGAATATAGAAGAATTGAACAGCATAAATAATCTTGACCTAATTGACATATATAGAACACTGCACCAAAAACAGTACATATTCTTTACAAGCATATGGAACACATGCCAAAATTGGCCATATGTTGGGACATAAAGTAAGTCTGAATGAGTTTCAAAAATTGAAATCATACAGAGAGAAATAGCAGATCATGATATAATTAAGCTAGATATCAATACCAAACATAACCAAATCCCCAAATGTATAGAAATTACAAAATTACTTTTAAATAGCCCATAGGTCTAGAGAGTCACAATATTATAAAATATTTTGAACTAAATAATAAATAAAATGCACACATTTGAAAACATGTGGGATACAGCTGAAGAGTGGCTTTGGTGTAGTATGCCTTCATGCATAAATTAGAAAAGAGGAAATACTGAAATAAATTATTCAAGTACTATCTCTAGAAACTTTTCAAATTTTGTTTAAAGTTTATTTATTTATTTTGAGAGTCCTAAGCAGTGTCTGTGCTGGGCCTATTGCAGGGCTGGATACCCTGACTGTGAGATCATGACTAGGCAAAAGTCAAAAGTTGTACACTTAAAACTGACTGAGCCACCCAGGCACCCCAAGAAACTTTTAAAATAATAAATTGAATCTAAAGAGAATAGAAGAAAGGGAATAATTCATGTAAAACCAGAAATTAATAAAATAGGAAGCATTTAATATAGATAATCAACAACATCTGAGTTGGTTCTTTGAAAAGACTATAAAATAATTCTTGCTGTAAACACTGGCTGTCCCCTTTCTTCTTATCCGTGGATAACAGAAGCCATTACCCCTGGAAGGTTATGTCACCTTCTCCCAACCTAACCTCTAACCCTGAGGATAGCAGAAACCACCACCCCTGGTGACTCAAAACTTAGAGTCCCATGTGGATTAAGCCAGAGCTACACTTTACCTCAAGTCACATTTTGTTCTGCTCTTTCCCCTTCCCTATCCTACAACCCTCATTCAAATAACCTTGCAGGTTTTTCCTTTGGGGTACTCTCTCAATAAATCATCACATCAATATCCCTGCCATGGGTTCTGCTTCTAGAAGAACCTGACCTAAAACTAAAATTAAGAAAACCTCAATCAATGAAAATAAACTTACAAATACCATGTTCATAAATTGGAAGATTCAATATTAGGAAAGTATTGATTCCCCCAAGTTATAGACCTAATGCAATTCTAGTCAAAATCCTAGGAAGTTTTTTATAGAAATTGATAAGCATATACCAAAATATATATCAAAATACAAAGGATCAAGAATAGTCAAGACATATACTGAATAAGAAGTAAAAAACTGAAGAACTTACATCACCAGATATAAAGACATAAAGCTATAGTAAGAGATTGCAGTATTCATATGAAAATGAATAGACAGATAGACGAGAGAGAAATGAGAATCTACCAACAGACCTATATATATATTAAACCCTGATATATGCAAACATTGGCACTGTAGAGTTGGTAGGGAAGGTTTGTTTAGTAAATGATATGAGACCGAAACTAGATATCCACATGGACTTCTACCACCTACATATACAAAAGTCCATGTGTAAATTACAGTTGTAAATATAAAAGGTGAAACAATTTCTGTAAGATAGCATAGAAGAATATCTTCATAATCTTTGGTACTCAGAGTTTTATCAGATAGGACACTTGTCTTAAAAATATTAACCATAAAAAATAGTTGATAAACTGGTCCACATTAAATTTAGGAACATCTCTTCATCATAAGATATCATTCAGAGAGTAAAAGGCAAAATAAGTGAATATACTTGCAATACAAGTAATTTTCTAATGACTTATCCTATTAAAAAAACTACAAATAAGAAAAGACAATTTAAAAATGAGCAGAGGACATAAACAAGTATCTTACAACAGATGATATCTAAATGACTAATAAATGTGAAAAAATGTCCACCTTCATTAGTCATAAGGGGAATACAAATTAAAACCACAATGAGATATCCATACAAGGGCAAGAATATTAAGCAATTGGAACACTCACACACAACAGGTGGGAGAGTAAAGTAGTACAGTCACCTTGGAAAACTGCTTAGCACTGTAATTACTAAAGCTGAACATAGGTATATCTTACTATCCAACAATTACACTCCTAGGTTATACTTCGATGAAATGTGTACACATGTTTGCAGAACACATGTTCGAGAACATTCATAACAGTGTTATTAACTACCCCAAACAGAAAGCAACCGAAATGTCCATAAACAATAGGTCAATAAATTGTAGTATATTTATACAATGAAATACTATTTGGTATTATGTTCAATATTATATAAATTATATATTTATATCGTATAATATATAAATTATAGAGTAAATTATATAAAATTATATTGCTCAGAGAAGCACACATCGGCAGTAATACTATAAAGAAAAGCTTGGATATGATAACCATAAAACTCAGTATAAAGATTATATTTAAGGTGAGGCTTATTGGATTGGGAAATCACATACAGGAAACTTCTGCAGTGCTAGTGATACTTATTTCTAGACTTAAATGATAGCTACATAGATGTTCTGTTTATAATTAATTATTTGTTAAACCATAAATGTCTCTACTGTGTTAAATTTCAAAATCAGAATTTCAAAAAAAGAAACAAAAGTACATGGAAAGATTGTACCTGAATTATACCTAAAAGTTAGTGAATGTAGTAGTAATTACTCAGTAATATAATAGATGTTCATTAGTGGTTACCTTAAAATCAATATTTAATTGTCTAAAACCAAGTGAAAGTGTTTTATTGTATCTTAAATTATTCAGAATTCAGTATCTTCTATTGTTGAAGGGATTCCTATATTGAGATGGAGTTTATAGTAGAGTTCTTTTCAAGATTATGTGGTTTTGTGAACTAGCTGTCCCAGGAAGTGATGAGCTACCTTCTCCAGAAATAGTTAAGCAAATTAAGAAATTTCTGTCATGATTTATTGTAAAAAAAGACTCCAAAGTAGGCAGTTGGATTAAAGTACCTTTAAAATGCCTTCTAACATTAACCAACAATCTAAAATTTTGGGTCATGTTGTCATGTATCCCTTCTAAGAATCCTACTACTCTCTTTCTCTTTCTCTGTCTCATTTGCCAACATTGATATGGAGGCATGACTATAAGCAGTTGAAGATGACGCATGGAATTATGAAATTAATAATGAAAATATGAAATTAAGATAATCTACATAACAGATTTTAAAATGACACCTATTTGCCCAATTCTTTAAACTTTATCTTCTTGGGAAGATTATCTTCTCTACTTGGGATATGTGTAAAACCATTTGGTAGCTTCCTTGAATTCTCTATGGACTATTTTTAATCATAAAATAATGAAAAATATATGGCTGACAATCATAGGGCTAAAAATGATGCATGAGAGGCATGCTTTCACTTTAAAAAGAAGTGTAATAAACTAACCTAAGTCAAGTCTATTTAAAAACTACATGATAAAATGTACAGTTAATGGAAGAGGGGGGAAAAGGTTTAGCTCTTAATAAGCCACTATCTCAATTTATTAGAAGAAAAGAAAAGAACTAGAAAGTCCAAAAGCCATTGTGCCCTCCTTCAAAAGCAACTGGCTAATAACTTGTCTTAGGTTAGAATAACTTAGAAACATATAATACCAGAAAATGATTAATAAGCATAAGTATGTGGAAACAGCCTACACCTTGACATCTTGTGAAAATGAATCCAAGACTCACCATTAACAAGGGATAATTGATAGTTGCAACCCATATGTTGGTAAATGGAGCCTCCAGGATAATAGCATCAACTGGGAATCCTTGAAAATAATAAAAAAAGAAGTAACTCCTCTATCATATGTAAATACTACCTCTCCTAAATAAGGAGTCCTAAGGTCTTGTACATGAATTACCTGTGCCAAAATTATTTGTGAACCTTATTAATAATGCAGATTCCTTGACACCACACTAGACTTGAATCAGTCAGAATCTTGAGGGGTGGGGGGTGAGAGTGCACATTTTTTTTAAGTAGGCTTCATACCCAGCATGGAGCCCAATGTAGGGTTTGAACTCACAACCCTGAGATCAAGACCTGAGCTGAGATCAAAAGTCAGATGCTTAACTGACTTCGGGCACCCAGGTGCCCCAAGAATGCTGATTTATTTTTTATTTTCTATTTTTTATTTTTATTGGTTGTTTTTTGTTTGTTTGATAGACAGAGTGTGACCCGAGGAGGGTCGGAGAGAGAGGAAGACACAGAATCTGAAACAGGCTGTCAGCACAGAGCCCGATCGATGCAAGGCTCAGACTCACAAACCGTGAGATCATGACCTGAGCGGAAGTTGGACGCCCCACTGACAGCCACTCAGGCACCCCCAAGAATGCTCATTTTTAACAAGCACCCCCACCCCAAGAGATTTCTATGTACATGATCATTGAGAACCACTACCTTCTAAAACATAAACTATATTTTCTATGACTTAGATAATTTAAGAAAGCAAAGTATTATAGGAAGGGAGATTGTTCTGCAGCCTATTGTTTAGAAAGTACGAGAAGCTTATTAAGTTGTTTTAGCCAACACTCCCTCTAAGAACAATGAGAAAATGTGTCAGATAGGGATATGTATCTGTATATGTACACAGTAGTCCCCCTTTATCCCCAGTTTCACTTTCTGCAGTTTCAGTTATCTGCAATCAGGTATGGTCCAGAAGGAGATAATCCTGCTTCTGTCATATTATCAGAAGGTCAGTAGTAGCCTAACACTACATCACAATGCCTGCATCATTCACCTCACTTCATCTCATCATGTAGATATTTTATCATGTCACATCATCATAAGAACTGAGTACAGTACAATATTTTAAGAAAGAGAGACCATGGTTGTATAGTATACTGTTATAATTGTTCTGTGTTAAGTGTGTTATTGTTAATCTCTTACTGTGCCTAATTTTTATTTTGAGAGAGAGAGAGTGCAATTAGGATCGGGTCAGAGAAAGAATTCCAAGCAGGCTCTGTGCTGTGAGCACAGAGCCTGACGTAGGGCTTAATCCGATAAACCGTGAGATCATGACCTGAGCCAAAATCAAGACTCAGATAAGTCAACCAACTGAGTCACCCAGGCACCCTCTGCCTAATTTATAAATTAAACTTTATCAGGGGGCAGCCTGGAGCCTGCTTTGGATTCTGTGTCTCCCTCTCTCTGCCCCTCCCTGTGCCCCCACATTCCCTCTCTCTCTCTCTCTCTCAAAGATAAATAAACATTTTAAAAAATTAAACCTTATCATAGGTATATACATATAGGAAAAACATTATATACAGGGTTTGGTATTATTTGTGGTTTCAGGTATCCATTGTAGGGCTTGGAACATATCCCCTATGGATAAGGGAGGACTACTGGTTGTATATGTATCTGTATCTGTATGTGCATATGCATATGCATATGTGTATGTACATGTTTGAAGGCATCTCAGGGCTACTAAATCAGTGAGATTTTGAGAGCCAATAACAAAAGAAAAATCAAGAGTTTGAGCTGCTTTTCTCCTTAAAGCAGTTGAAATTTCGAAAGCAACAATTGTGGCTGCTCTTACAGGCTTAGATCTAGAGAGAACTTTCAGCATTCCCACAGGACCAGAAGGACAAAAATTAGAGTTCAGAATCTGACAAGAAGCAGGGCTCAAGTAAATTTCTCAGACTTTTTGTTGGGACTTAACAGGAATATACCCTGGGAATAATGGCAAACTAGAAAGAGACCAGCTGTCATAAAGACTGATTCCCAGCTTCAACCAGCTCAATTTTTGATTGGATTAAGGTGACCTCCCTTCTATTTTAACTGCCTTTCAGAAGAAAAGTAACTTTTGTCTGGAATATTATCCCTAGTCCCTCAAATTACCTCTACAATTTCCATAAACAGTGTCTAGCATTTAATGAAAAATAAGGAGGCATACAACAAACAAAAACAAAAACATAAAGAGGCCAAAAATACAAAACAACAACAAGAACAGATAATAGAGATCAACAAAGGAACTAGATATTGGCATTATGATATATCAATTTTAAAATAACTTATAAATGAAGTATAACATAGTAAAATATTTATTAAAATTTTAATATTTAACAAAATTTGATACTACATAGTGAACTGTGTAATATGTCAAAAGAAAATATTTAAACTGGAGCACTGGGGTGCCTGGGTGTCTCAATTAGTTAAGTGTCTGACTTCGGCTCACGTCATGATCTTGAGGTTCATGAGTTTGAGTCCTGCATCAAGCTCTGTGCTGCAAGTTCAGAGCCTGGAGCCTGCTTGAGATTCTGTCTCCCTTTCTCTCTTCTCCTTCCCCACTCATACTTTGTCTCTCTGTGTCTCTCAAAAATGAATAAACATTAAAAAAAATTTTTTTTAAATCAAGATAAACTAGAGCACAAATAGAAAAATGTCTGGAAACCCCAGAAAAGAATATTGGAAACATACATGATAAGGAAACAGATCAAAGAAATACACATAATTATACTCCCAGGGGTAGACACAATATTTGAAGATATAATGAAGAATTTTCGAAAATGGAGGAACATTAAGCCAGAGTTCAGAGGTACTATGAACCCCGAAGCAGGACAAGTACTAAGAAACACATACCTAGGAAAATCACAGTAAAAATGCTGAAAAACGAAGATAAAATGAATCTCAGAAACAGCCAAAAGAAAAAGTAAACATTATCTTCAAATTAAGGAGCAGCAGTAAGACTGGAATAGCAAAAGCCAGAACAAAATGGATGATGTCTTCAAAGAGCTGAAATAAAATAACTACCAGCCAAGTATGCCCAATGAAAATATCCTTCAAAAATGAAGATAAAATAAAGATATTTTCAGGCCAAAACTGAAAGAATTCTTCACCACAGACAGGCAGAACAAAAATCCCAAATTAAAGCACAGAAATGGTAGAAATAGTAAAAAGCAAAAATAGCCAAATCTAAATAGTGACTTTGTAACATAAGGATAATAATGTTTTATGGAGTATGTAATGTAAAGAAAATTAAAATACATGATAGCAAAAGTTCGTAGATCAGGGATGTAAATAGAATTAAAGTGCTCTAAGGTCATTTCATCATCTAAGAAGTGAAGTATTCATTTATGCAAGAATTTAGGTCAGATAAATACAGCATCATCAACACTGTGCAGGAAGTGTGTGCAGGGAGTTATGAGAGCTTAGAGAAGCAGGAAATAATGTCTGCTCTATTTCCATAACTAATTAAGACTGCATATAGCAGGTGACTTGCTTTAAAATGTTTATGTAACTCAAACTGCCTGTATTGACAAGTTAGGTTCTGAGATAACGCAAGAGAACACATGCTTTTAATGTACATCAAAATCACCTTCTCCTATTCACAGAGATTCTAATTCATGCAAACAGCTAGGATCAAGGAACCGCGTGCTTATAACAAGCACCTCCCAGAATTCTGATACAGGCAGCTCTCAGAGCACTTTGGGAAACTGACATAAACGTGATGGAAGAAGGGCTGCAGCAAGCAAGTCCTGCTTGTTACTTTATAATGTATTTTTTTCCTCCCCTATAATGCAGCTTACTCCACAGTAACGTTTACTTCACAATGAAGGCTTTTTCAAAGGTAATTTTAACTCAGGTGGCTCTGTGGCACAGTGGATAGCGCATTGGACTTCTAGTAACAAAGGTAATTTTAACTCTTCCGATTTATTTTTAATTTCATGATCTTGAAAAGCATCTATTGTTTTATATTAAATAGAAAAAAGGCTTATTACACTATCAAAAACTGTCTGAGCTCAGGGTGCCTTAGGTATCTCTGTATTCCAAGTGTGCACAGTAATCCATAGGCTAGTTCTACTTTCCCACCCCAAGCCAAGAAATGATGTGTGAGCATTTTATGGTACCTTTCTCTTCCAGCACTCTTGCGGCGTTGGTTGCAACTCTGTAAAGCAATGAAAATTAGTACATATGTGAAGCAGTAACTTAACAGTCAAGTAAACAGTACAAAATGCAGCATCTAGTATGAGCATCTGATGAAAGCTCTGGACCCTCTGGTAGAACACAGACACAAAATTTTGCACAGAATTTCAAGGAGTTCCACTGGCCTTAATTAAGAATCCTTTTCTTTAAAACTCTGGAATGGGCTTCAATGTCATAGATAACCATACAGCTACACCCTCCCACTATTACAAACAGGCACACTGAGATGGCAATGTCTCTAGCCACATGTGGGATGCGAGAGAAACCAGAGCCCCCTCTCCTAGCTCAGTCCTTCATCCTCTGCTCACTGCTGCCTTTGATAGGACACCAAAGTTCCAAAGACCCACCATCTTCAAATCCCACTTACCCTGTACCCAGAGAGTGGCCCCAGAGACACACAGGGGTGCTACCACTTCTCGCCTTCGTCCACTCATAGACACAAATAGCATCTGCAGTCAGTCCCTCCTCTGTGGGCTTCCCCGTGGAGTCCCCGAACCCTGGCAGTAAGGAAAGGCAGACACAGAATCACTCCCGCCAAAACCAGGGCCATCAAAACCCCTCCTGTTTATCAAAAAGTCTTTATATACTGTTCTTAACACATACCTCTGTAGTCCACGGACAGGACGTGAAAGCCACCATCGCTCAGCACCTAGAAGAAAAAGGAGCTGTTATCATTTTAATTGGAAAGTGTAAACTGAAAAGGTGGTATAACCTCCTCAACACTTCCATAAACCTTGTTGTGATGGTTTCACAGGCAGGGAATGGATGAAATGTGCCGTCTGACTTCAAATGTGAGAAGGTCAGACTCAATGGGAAATGAGGGAGGCCGGGGCAGAGCAGGGTCAGACAGCCTGCTAACCCCCCCCCCCCCCCCCCCCCCCCCCCCCCCCCGCTGTGCCCCTTACTGGCGTGTGACCTTGAGCAAGCCACTAAACATCTGAATATGTAAATATTATTCTGAAAAGTGAAAAACACTAGTGGCTACCTTCAGGATTGTTGGAAGACTACGTGAAATGACGTATTAAACTATCATGGTGCATAGTAAATGTCTGTTTCAAGAATTCCCTTGAGAACAGAAGGTCTACAGTTGTAGCGGGGAGTTAAATAATGGGAAGATATTTATATTAAATATGAACAAAGAGTTAATATCTGTCCAAAATAAACAGATCGCCTGATTCAGTGAACCCACTGCCAAGCCCCATGTGGATAAATGAGGAAGGAATATGAAAACATAATATGAAAACATGAATTACAAAGATAGACAAAGAGAAAGAAAAAAGGGACAAAAATGGATCATGCAGATCCTTTTTAAAACTTTCCTTAATCCTCACAATAGTTCCTGAAAGGTAGGTATTATCCCCATTTTATAGATAAAGAAATTGAGTCCCGAAGGGTTTAAGTAACTAGTTATTGGTCACCCAAATGGCTAGAGGCAGAACCAGGATTCACACCTGGGCCTGCTTATGTCCAAACACTGTGCTTTCCCTGCCACAGCATAGATGTAGGTAGCTGAATCTCACTAGAAATCTTTAAATATAAATCCAGGGGTGCCTGGGTGGCTCAGTCGGTTGAGCATCTGACTTCGGCTCAGGTCATGATCTCACAGTTCATGAGTTCGAGCCCCACGTCGGGCTCCGTGCTGACAGCTAGCTCAGAGCCTGGAGCCTCTTTCAGATTCTGTATCTCCCTCTCTCTATGACCTTCCCCTGCTCACACTGTCTCTCTCTCTCTCTCTCTCTCTTTCTCTCTCTCAGAAATAAATAAAACATTAAATAAATAAGTAAATATAAATCCAGCCAATAATGATCAGCTTAACGGTAACCCACAACCCTCGGACCAACTATGTCCAGCCAATAATGAGAAACTAAATAAAGCTTTTTAATATCTCCAAAATAGTTATCCAAGACACAGAGCAGTTAGGCATCCAGGGAAATTGGAGTATTCATGTGTTCACTGTAAATTGAAAGACCACTGATGAAACAACTCAAGAACAGTAACAGAGCTCACTCCTAAGAATTTATCTCTAGGAAAAAAAATCCAAAAGAAGAATAAACTAAAGGCTTAAAGTCTTCTCTATCAATATTATTTAAATGATTTTAGCGGGGGACATATTGACTTTATAATTAGATAATGTATCTAACAACAGTGGAATAGTTAAGTAAATAAACAATTGTCTATAAATATAATGGAGAATGATCACCTTTTAAATTAGTAACTATGATAACTATGGGAAAACATGGAAGTATGTTTATAATGTAGTATTAAGTAATAGCACAACATAAAAGTACATGCAGATGCTACCATAGTTATATAAAAACTTTATATAAAGATATAAAGACTATAAGGTGGGATTGCAAATTAATGAAAACAGCTGTGTGAGCGATGAATGAATGGATGAATGAATGAGAGAACAAATGAGAAAGAGGGAGGGAAGGAAGGAAGGCAAGAAGAAAGGGAAGAACAACAACATAATAATAAAGATTTAATTTTTTTAAGTTTATGTATTTTGAGAGAGCCAGAGATAGCACATACATGAGTTGGGGAGGGGCAGAGAGAAGGAGAGAGAGTCCCAAGCAGGCTCCACGCTATCCGCTCAGAGCCTGATGCGGGGCTCGAACTCATAAACTGTGAGATCATGACTGGGCCCAAATCAGGAGTCAGCTACGTAACCAACTAAGTCACCTAGGTACCCCAAGATTTAATCTTTAAAGGAAATCATTCATTCAAAGAAGAGAATGAAGGGCTACAATGTTTGGTCAGGCTGGGAAGTGATGACCATGGCACAAGGCATCCAGAGTCGGCTGGGGAAGAAGTTATCAGACCTTCCCCTTCCACCCCAACTACCAGCAGCATGACCTGGCTACTTTTTCACACCTACACCCATGACTCTTTTCCTTCCTGTGCACACAGGGGCTATACAATTCAGCTTTGCTAAGAGTGGGAGAGGAAAAATACCTGTGTCCTCATGGACATCAGTTTCACCACCATCCAGCCTAGGAAGTGTGGAGAGTGAGGTGCAGTAGAAGGCAAACCTAAATATTAAGAGACGTTATCATCCCAGGCAGAACTGCATCCAGCCCACCACTCCTCCGCAAGAGTCAGTCTGAGAAAGCAGTGAAGGGAGGAGTAGACCAGAGAGGGGGGAGGAAGCGGGCGCCTGGCCATACTGGGTCCCGCTAGCGCTGGCACACCAGGAAAGGGCTCTGAGGTGGGAGCTGGCATGTGGGAGGAGAGATCAGGTCCTGTGGCCGATACCTGGACAAGCAGCCCGGTCACCTGAGGGAGAGGTGACCCAGTCGGGGTGTGGAGATGAACAGATAGCTGCCCTGCCAGCCATGAGTCAGATACGGCTGAGTGGAAAGGCTGCTCCCTCACACTTGGAAATGCAGGGGCCACGCCCCACAAACGATAGTCATGTCGCAGGCTAGTGAGAAGAGCGGTGTGGCCAGCATCCCACTTGCAAAACCCTTCATGGGCCTGAAGTCAGAGCCTGAATGACTTTTTTTTTTTTAATGTTTGTTTATATTTGAGAGAGGGAAAGAGACAGAGAGGGAGACACAGAATCTGAAGCAGGCTCCAGGCTCCAAGCTGTCAGCACAGAGCCTAACACGGGGCTCAAACCCTCAAATCTTGGGATCCTGACCTGAACCAAAGTTGGACACTTAACCAACTGAGCGACTCAGACGCCACCCTCCCCCCAAATGACTTTTAAAAGCAGACATTCTATGTCTTTATCCTCTATCATCAAAAGAAAAAAAAGGGAGGGAGTTTCCCACAGCAGTAACTTGCACATTTAATATACTTTCCCAACCCTCCCCACCAGCCCTTAGAAAAATCAAGTCAAACAGGTCTCCAACTCCATCTGGTGATGAAGGTATTATATTTATGAAACTATTTTGGTTCTCAGAGATGTTCGCTTCTGTTTTCATCCCCCGTGGTGACTGCAGGAAGAGAAATCCACGTGTGGGACTTTGAGCCCCAGACACCAAACCCACTCTCAGGAGCTCTCAGTAGATATCCATGCTGAGAAAGATCGATGGCCGTAGCCCAGAAGAGAATAAATAAAGACATAAAACTGATACTTTGAGACTCCTTCAGACATACCTTTACGAGCCTAAGTCTGTGAGAAGCTGCCCTGTGGAGGAGATAGGGGAAAAAAAAGAGCAAGAATTAGGAATTACAATGACAAATTCAATAAAAATCACTATCATGGTTTTGGCATCTGATGTCATGCCTTTCTTTTTCAGGTTAGAGAAATAAATAACTAGGAGAAAGGGAAATGGTTTTTGGTGTCATAGCCCACGTGGATGTGTCAGGGTGAATGACCGATGGCTCCCCACTGCTGCCGTGTTCCTCTAAATGGGTGCTGGATGCCCAGATGCCAGTGCTTCTCAAAAGAGGCACGTGATGAATTGTTGGTAATCCACCTCCTTTCACTGCTACACAGCAAAACTTACTGCTAAGAATACTTTTAGAAACTAAAGGAAAATCAGTTCCGGAAAATGGCTTTTCAGAACAGAGGATGACATGGCCATGTTCGCTAAACTAAGATGTGCCTGTACCCTGTTCACTGTGCCATTAAGTACAAGACGAAATGAAAGAGAGAGACTCACAGCCCTGAAAGCACAAAAAACATGTTTTCCCCCAAATAGCCATATCATCTACTCTGTATTAAACGCAATAATAAAAAGGAAACAAAGATGATTCAAAAGGCAGTGGATTTTTCTAAAAGCCATTTGAATTTTGTTTTAGAGCCAATGTCTTAAACTTTCATGGATCATGGAGCCCTTAAAACATGTAAATAAAGCTATGGGCCCATATTCCAGAAAAATAGATCCACACTTGAAATTTTCTATACAATTTGGTGAAGGAGGAGGTTCATGGACCCTCCAGGGTTTCTCTGGATCCTAAGTCTAGAACCACTGTTTTCAACAAGGTTTTGGTAACCTCCCATTTGGCCTTCTTTTTGGCTCACTACTGCAAGTAGCGAGTTGAGACTTCTGTCAGGGGACAGGAGGAAGCTGGGGCTAACCCCAGAGCCAGTAAATCTGGGATAACAGCAGATTCCCACAGAGGGGCAGACATCAATGTGTGGGCCAAACGATCCTTTAAATACATACATCTTAGCACCATGCAAAGTTTGCCCAATCAGAACAATGTTAAACAATGTTGAAAGATGTTGAATTTCATGGGAAATCTCTGTAAATCTCTTTCTAAAATGGACATCCTGAAAGCTCTGGCTGCAAAGGCAAGTCTTGAGAAAGCCATCAAGACAGAAAAAGACAGTGAGAAAAAGAGACACAGGCAGTGGAGCCTAGGGGCAGATTCCAAAGCTTGTCATTTAGTGTGCAGTGTCCCTACAGAGACCGAGCTGGGTCTGTAGGTCTCTCAAGCATGTCACCCCTCCCCCAACCCAAAGCGATGCAGTCACAGCTGATAATCATCACCAATGACAGGCCCACTGAAGGCTCTGGCAGCACATCAAAAGGGAGCAGCACTTCAGGGAGGCATTCTTTGTTACAAAGCAAGGATGGAACAGAGAGTGGGCTGAGGCATCGGTATGCTAGACTAGAACCAGTCAGATGGTCCCCAGTACCAATGGTCAGAATTCCAGATGATGTTTTGTAGGGAGTCCATGCATTTGATTAATAGGATGCATGCTAAATCAAGGAATCTCCATGTACTTCTGTGAGAAGACCATTGATATGGAAATTGCTCTCCTTTCCCCCATATCTCATGCCTGTTCCCTTTCCAGTCATCCATGGGCTCTGCTCATCATTTCAGACACTCTTTGGGAGCAAAGGAACCACTGCTGCCTTTGAAGTTGGTATCCGAATTTTGGAAGTTAGTCTCCCTTTCAGTTAAAGATCTATGTTAGTCTATATATAGAATATGTAGTTGTTTGTTTGTTTGTTTTAAGAGAAGCCGATTGCCAGAACGCCCTCAAATTTCAACAAAGGAGAAAAGACTATATGGAGGCCTGCTTACAGACTTGAAAACTGAGATCTGCCTTTTATCCCCCCATGGGGCTGAAATGCTCCCTCTCTATTTAGAAAACAACAACAACAACAAAAATCCAAGCAAAGGCACTGACCTGCTTTCCGCGCTGCCGTGAAGATATACAATAATCGGGTTGCCATCATGAAGGGCTGCTTCGTACCAGCAACGGTCCTTTCCCTTAGCATCCTCACCCCGGCAGCTGGGAACCGTGTGCCTGAAGAGCAAGGAAGGGTTTTAACAAACATGTACAGAGGGAACTGGCTTTCATACCCAAAGTTTGACACGCTCCTTCCATCAGAGATAAGTGTTTATATATGTATAAATATATATTACATATTTACGTATAGACATTTCTGACTAATATATACACATGGTAAAAATTAAAATACAATACCATAAACATCTTACAGTGAAAACCACTACTTCTCTACCCCACCTCCCTCATGCACAGAAACAGTCCCTTGAAACCATTTACTGTTTTAGTTCTTCCAGTGCCTACACCTATTAATCTTCCAAGACTGCAATTCTTAGGTGCCGTCCATTGAAATGAAGTCCATTGGATGGAAACAAGTAAAAGACAATAGATATTTGTCACCTGCTATTTTTTGGCTGAAAAAACAAGTTCAAAGAATTTAAACGGAATTCAATTTAGGTAGGAGAAAGGAACTTTAATATGAAACAAGCTATTCTACTCAAGAAACCAGTGACCTTGTAATTTTAAACACCTGCCAGAGCGCCCGTTCCTCCCCACTGTTAAACCAGTGAATGAACCCTGAGGACACAAATCCTGCCACATGACATATCACAAAGGGACCTGGAGAATTGGCCCCATCATGATAAATCTTCAGTCCTCTTGACCATTTGGGCGCAGAAAGCCCAACATCAAGCCCATCGGTATTGAGAGGACAGGCATCGCTGCCAGCTCAATATGCCAGGGCAAGAGCAAAGAATAAGAAGATTTTCAAATTCCTGCACAATTAGCTGAACCATACAGTGCAGATTAGGAAGAGGCTATGTGAACCCATGTTGGTTTCTACACATTCTAGGATCACATGTTGGAACTCAGGGAGAAGATGCATAAAACAGGACACTGGAAAACTGGCAGCCAAGAACCAGTAGTAGAACCAAACAGAAAAACATATTGACATTAGCATACAAAAAAAGGCAATAGAATGCTCATGATTTTGACAGTTGAGTGTCTTTTCTGTGTCAAGCACTGTGCTAAGCAGTGAAAACCCACCAACAAAGTCACCTACAAAAGTTACAGTCTTGTAAAGAAGACTGACATTAACCAAATAATCGCACAAACACTGATTAAATTCCCGTGCGAGTAAACAGAACAAGCACAGGTGGTCACCTGTGCCTAAAATGGGAGATGAGGCAGGGCTTCTCTGAAAATTAGCGAATTACCACTGGAACAGAGACCCTGAAGATGAGTAGGCAGTAAGCTGGGTGAAAGGAGGGAGCAAAGAGAAGTGTTGTCAGCAGAGCATATATCCTGTGAGAGTGTGGCCTAGTGTGCAAGGAGGCTAGCAGTTCTGTGAGAGTGTGGGAAGGCTGGTGTGGAATAAGGAAGAAGGGTGAAGTGGGGCCTGGTGAAAGACCCAATGCACAGGGCAATATCCAAAAGACTTTGCACTCCAAGGTGAAATTACTGAGAAGCAAATTCAGGTCAAATATCAATACAAAGGGAAAGTGTATGGAATAGTAAGAAACACCAACCTCTCCACCGGTGGCTAACACCGTGCCGCTCACCGGTGCCCTTGTAACATGAAAACCACATCCCTGACGCGGCCCAGTGTCCCTCCGTGCACTCACCAGATTCCCAGAATCACCCCAGGTTCAACTCTGATATAGAAGTTCACCGTGTGAGCAATCTTTAACTCCGGTTTCTTTAAATCCACAAGAAAGGGTGCTTTGACTAGAAAGCAGAATTCATTATCAACACCCCACATCAAATTCCATGTCTTTTAATCACAATCGAAAAAAAGTAATTAGTCTCATGGTTAACATGGTTTCTAAGTTGCAAGCCACTACACGAAATTCCTAGCAAAGTATTTTACTTTATAAACTAGGACTAGCCCACAGGAGAGGTGCCAAAACAAAAACAAAACAACAATAAAAACAAAACAAAAAACCCTAAAGCGAGATTTTAAAATAGCACCAGTGTGATAGGGCATAATAGAGTTTATTCAATCCGTAGCCTAGTCTCAAGCTATAAACAAAGGAGACCATTCCCCTAAAAAGGTAAGAGTGTCTAGAAGAAAGAAATGAGTATTCTGCTACCTATGGCAAGCATTGTTTCCACTAAATAAAATCTAACCATTAGCCATAAACCATGAGATGGCCAGAATCAACATACCTGTGGGGACAAACAGGTGAGAGCATTGCCTGTGTGCTAGAAGGACTGTGTGTTGTTATATTGTATAGCATTATATTGATTAACGGCATGCGTTAATCTAACGGCAGTAGAAAAAACATGGGAAAACAGATTCCTCACGTCAATGTCTCCCCACCCCCAGCTGTCTGCTTTCTCTCTCTTTCAAGGGGTACGGGTAAAATGAAGAAGCAAGAAAATAGAGAATCCACCAAGAAGTAAGGAATCCATATTAACAGCTAATTCAGATACTGAGCTCCTGAACTGAAACCTCCCCCCAACAAGGCCATGTTTTTCTATCCATCTCCCCCCAACAGTTTGCAAGGATTCATGCTAGACCCCAGTTCTAGTGTTAAACAGGGTTCATACCATTGAAATCTAGCCATAATTTTATTTATTTTTTTTGAGAGAGAGAGAAAGTGTGAGTGAGGGAGGAGCAGAGAGAGAGAGGGTGAGAGAGAATCCCAAGTAGGCTCCACACTATCAATGACACGGGGCTCAAAACCATAAACCATGAGATCACAGCCTGAGGTGAAATCAGACGCTTAACTGACTGAGCCACCCAGGAGCCCCTCTAGCTACAATTTTATAGCTTTTTCATTGTCACAACTTAAAGGGCAGTGAGTTCTTTATCTGGGAAAATATGTATAGGCAAATTAATGAAAGATATATACTTACAAAAATTTAAAAATATTAGCATGTTCATCAAAGGAGGAAAAATGTATTCTTTTAATGGTTTACTAGTAAAGTTGTTGTACAGAGCAGCAGTTTTTCTTCCAAGTGTTGAACAGGAATGTGGAATGGATCTGCAAGATATTGTGAAACAAAAACAAGGTATTCAAAATCAGTCCAAATTTTGTCTTGGTTTGGTTTTTCTCTTAACAACCAAATAAAATTTCAGAGACTAACACTGGGAATTACAGGTGACTTGACATTAAAGCAAAATGCTCTACAGAATTGCATGTCATTAGGACATATCAGGCCCGGGCACAAAAGGAAGGCAATAAATCAAGACCCTAACCAGCTACTGAAAAAGCTCAGGTTTCACAGACCGGGGTTGGTGGGGGGGGGGGGGGGGGGGGGGGGGGGGGGGGGGGGGGCATGAATGTACTGTGGTCAGGCCTGTTCCCTCAGGGCATCCCCAAAGAAGACCAAGCCTGGACCCCAAAGTCATCAGGAAATAGGATTCAGACTATTAACAGGTGCCACCGTTTTTAATCACATCACAATTTAGTACTGTATGTGTTGACTATGATTAGTCTACAGCAGTGCATGAAAAATCACCAGATCCCCAGGCTTCCGGCTGGGTCTTAGGATGAAATGAGCCAATGAAAGAAAGATCCCTACTTCTGATGTGACATCCCAGGTAAGAGTGACCATGAAGAGCAGGGTGGGGAGCCGGGGAATACCTGGAGGTTGTTGCTACATGAGGGCGGGGTTCTGGTCAGGAAATGGGACACAGCAGGCCATGCACATCTTGTTTATTCTACTGTTTGTTCCCATGACACAAACCACCTAAACCCAGGGCCACCAGCAGGCAAGTTAGTTAGGACTTGTCCATGAGGAGTCACTAATGCCACCTCTGTCTCAAGCCACATCTCTTAGGAGGGCTGAATGTCTACTACCTTTGAGAAAGGAGGGACACAGGAAGTCAGTGTCACCACTTCCTGCTTCCAGTTTTTATCCACATCATCTATTAAAGAAATCCCTTTCGTTTTTTCAGTAAAAGGTTGCCCAATGTAATCAAATCATGAGGTTGTGGGACTAGAAAGCATTTTGAATGCACTATTTCCCCCCCACCCCCGCCCTGATTTCTCTGCTAGACCAGAGCCTTTTAAAAGATAGCTGTTGTTACCTGTAGGTTGCAAATGAGGAGACTGAAAAGTTTAAGTAAGCTCCCCAATGCCACAGAGCCAATGAATGGCTGAGCCATGTGTACCCAGGTCTGTATGGCCCCAGAGTTCTATGAAGATCTCCAGTGAGCTGTCACAGTCCCAGTGAATGCTGCTTGCCACACAGGCAGGCACAAATGAACCTGGAGAATAAGGCTGGCTTCTGGCAACAAAATTCAGTCCTTAGAGGAAGTTGCTTCAGGACCCCCTTCTCACCTTGTGCATCCTTGGCCCTTCTTTTTTTTTTTTTTTTTTTTTTTATATTTTTATTTATTTCTAGGAGAGAGAGAGAGACAGCGTGAGCAGGGGAGGGTCAGAGAGAGAGGGAGACACACACTGAAACAGGCTCCAGGCTCTGAGCTGGCAGTCAGCACAGAGCCCGACGCGGGGCTCGAACCCACGAACCGCGAGATCATGACCTAAGTGAAAGTCGGACGCTTAACCGACTAAGCCACCCAGGCGCCCCTATCCTTGGCCCTTCTTAAGGTCCGTTCTTCCTCCCACACTCTTCTCCCTTCCTGTTCCTGTATTCTCAGGAGCCTTCTGACCCGTGTCATTAAAGAAAGTCTTCTAAAAAGAGTTTCTCCCTCAAGTGTTAATACTAAAAATCCAGAGTGCTTATATGTTTGGAAGAGGCATGAAGGGAAGAAGAACATGCATTGCCAATGAATTTCCAACAATTCTGCAGCGAGTGGAAAAGAGACGTGGGCTAAGTGTAATGGGTAGCCCTCCAAGTAGCGGGCATAGGCAACTGCCTAAAATCAGCAAGGAGAAAATGAACATGACTGTTTCATAATACTTTAAAATAGCCTCCGAGAAGAGGTAGGAAGGAGAGGACATTGTTGTTCTGATTTTAGAGATAAGAAGCCAACACCCAGAGAAGCCACTTTGAGCCCCAGATCAAGTCCAAACGGAACACAGGCTGAATTCTTAGCTTCCTTCCAGTTGGCTGGCTCAGGCTTTCTTTCTCCTAATTCTGAACTCACGCTACCCTGCCTGTTAGTCTCCTGCTAAGGTATCTTTTGAAGGTAGCAGGGTGCTTGGGAAGCAGAGGCGGTAGAGGGAAATATGTTTCTGTTTTTAAAGAATAATTCATATAGGACCCTTCTCTCAAATAGCTCAAGGCACTTCTGTGAGAAGCACTGCGGGAAGAGAACAGAGTGACCAGATCCCTCGGAGCATCAATAATGCAGAGTGACTTCTTTTAACTAGAGGTTGTCAATTTGACTTCCCCTAGATCAGTGGGGGATCAAAAGTCACCAGTGGCTAGCAGACCTTATTTGAGTGGAGGATGCAGTTTCAGCCCCATCGCAGCTAACGGCCAGCCACATCAAACAGCCACCTTGATGCTTTGGTGTTCTTTCGCCTGCCCTTTGATCAGCTGTGGCTGTAACTGCACAGCATCCCGCAGGGGCCGCAGCACCTAACTGGATCATTCTTACCTAAGAACCAGAGTTGCTGCAGGGTGAATCCTTCATGTTCACACTCGGAGGCCCCAGCTTTGGGAAGCCCAGCTCTGACCCCATTTGGCAAGACAGCTATTCCAAATAATAAGACACGCCATACATGTATCCACCGTACCCATTAATTCAGCCAACATGGATTGATCACCGAGCACCTAAGTTACATCCGTGTCCTTCTCCCTTCTTTCCTCCCCATCAAATCCTCCCCTTCCGTCAATGCACTCAAGTGTTTCTTCTTTGTTGAAGCCTCTCTTAGACCTTCCCACGGTGACCTTTCCTCTCTTTTCACCCCTCCCACTAATTGTAACTGGGCCTCAGTTTGACCTGTAATCATTCTCTGTTTTTTTACCCACTATCAGTCCTGCGTTCGCACTGACAAGGACCACGTGGCGTACAGTGCTGCTTTTACAGTGCTCCCTGTGTAGCTCAGGTCCCAGAACTGTTCTGCAAGTGGATTTCTCTCCTAAGGGAGAAGGAAGCAATGTGTATTGGTAGCTTTGGGGTAGAGGGGAAGGGCTTCATTCTCTTTTCTGAATTACAATTGAAAATTAATCAATGTGAGCTTCACAACAGTAGGGATTTGTGCCGGTTTTATTTACTGCTTTGTACCCAGGTCTAAACTAGTGCCCAACAGGGAGGTGATGGCCAGTACTATGGAAAGAATGAATCCATCTATCAGCCTGTTCATGGGAGGAAGGAAGGGCGGTGTTCGTAAACTATCCAGAAATGTGAACTTGGGGTGAATGGGGAACAACGGAGAGGGAAATAACCCATTGGCTTCCCTCAGCTTCTTTCCTGAGCACATTCCCCATTTTTCTACTTTGAAGAAAACCAATTGCAAGTGAAGCTTTACTCTCCTGGGCCCATCTGTCTTAAGTAGCAACTACACCTTACAAAATTCATGCAAAATAAACAGATCCCCAAGGCATTAAAAAATAATTACTGAAAACATCTTTTCATTAAATGTTCTCCTTGAGTCACACAACACATCACAATAGATCCCTTGCGACTCGCAGTTATAGACGCACGGCCAGCCCTCTGTGAATGCTTGCGGATCTAAACTAACTTGCTCCAAGAAACAAAAGGATCCAGGATGCTGAATGTGGGTCTGTGCCTCTGCCTAGAGCAGTAGAGATGACGAAATGTGCCTGTCTCTTATTCTTTCAGGAAGCATCTCCTGAGACTTATTTTTTAGTAATTAGTAAGGCAAGTAAGAGAGGGTCCCCAATTCCCTACGTCCCACTCCATTAATCAACAAAGTGGGTTGCTCTCTAAAAGCATGAACTGCAGCTTTGATTCTCTGCCAAATAAATGTTAAATAATCAACCGTCAACTCTAGAGAGAGCACAAAAGATAAAGCAGAAAAGGCCAGCTTTTTCAGAACAACCATGTCAAGGAGGTAAGGCCCGTGAATGTGAAGTTGAAAAGTGCAGTCAGTCAGGATATTCTGACTCATGGTCAGTGTGGGTCTAAGCTGCTGGCCCAGGAGAGAGCTGCTCCCTGCTCCATGCCCTGAGCTACAGAAGGAATAGAAGAGAGAAGATGGGTTTTTGTCTTCATCACTGACACATTCCAAAGTGAAGTCTCTGGTGTCTGGATGTGACTCTTGGATATTTTGTTATCAGCAATAAACAAAACAAAAGAATGTAACAAAGAAAGGTGACCAAAAATGCCAATACCTTCCCACCCCAACAAAACCAAACAGGATACCGGAGTCTCCTGAGTCCAGGGCCTCTAGCCAACACCTGGCTTCAATGCAAATGAGACTGGCAATATATTGCTGGTCAATTCAAGTAGTTTAACACTACCGTTTAAGCCAAGGATTTAAAATAAGAGAAAGAAAAATTTCAAACCCACAGATACAGACATCTCAGAATTAAAGGATGTAAGAACTTGGCACAGGTATGGTTTCAACGCACTATACATTTTTAGCCTTATGGAGGGATGTTCTTTGAACACATCCGAAAGAGGGTCCCCCGGGGGAGCTGGCCTTCTGATCCTCTTCCGCCGGCACAGACAGCCCTTTGACCTAAGAGGATGCCGTCTAAGGGTCCAAGGTAGATGAGTAATGTCACTATTATTGGCCTTTTAAAAATCCACCGGAATTTCAGGACCATGGTCAAAGCAGGTAAGAGATTGGTAGAGGCATCTGAGTCATCTTTCTGGAAATCCCTATTTCAGAAGCCCCAAGGGGATGTAAGCTCCTGAAAGCAAACCCTAGAGGCTCGCAGGTGGGAATAGGCCCCGAGGCGAAGAATAACGCGGTCCCAAGGGCGCCAGGGCTCGCAGAGCTCTGGGGGACCCCGAAACCCCCCCGCGCCCCACCCCGCCCCGGGGAGCCACAGTGCCAGGTCCGGCCCACCGCCTTGGGCCGGATCGCGCCCTGCCCGTACCCCGGGGCTCGGGCCGGGGACGACGGCGCGCCGGGCCGCGGGGCACTCACCGCAGGTTCCGCACCACCATGTCCCACCAGGCGGCCACGCAGCCCCGCGCGTCCATCCCTGCGCCGCGCCGTGTGCCGAGCGGCCACCGCGGAGCCCCGGCCTGGAGCCCGAGCCGCCCCCGCGGGCGCCCGGCCCGCCCTCCTCCCCCGCGCGGGGCCCCGCCGCCTGCCGGCCCGGGGGCGGCTGCGGGCCTTGGGGTTCCGGCTGCAGGCGACCCCCCCGCCCCAGCTGTGCTGGAGAAGCCAGTCACCCACGCCTGCGCCTGGCTACGCACGGCTTTACTTTCCAGTGTGCTTCATACATGTGTGGATGTGGTGCGCGCCCCGCGCGATGAAATAAAATAGATTTCCGATCATGGTAGTAATAACGCAAAATTCTGATGGTCCCAGCTCTAGGAGGCCTGCCTGAAGAGTATAAGCTTTCCTCTACTTTGACCTCTCTTCCTTTATTTATTTATTTATTTATTTATTTATTTATTTATTTATTTTGGTCTTTACTGTTTTTACCTTTTTCTGAAGCTTACCCATCTCCAGCACCCCTCTCTCCATCCCTCTTCCCTTGAGTAATGGTTTATCTGTCCACAGGTTATGAACTACACAGTTAACACTAAAATTAACACCTTTTTGGCATTTGGTTTATTTAGCAACATCTCCCAGAACCCTGCCCTGTATCAAGGAGTTCACACCTTGACAGGTTTGGCCTCAAAGGCCTGCATAATGCATTGCCGCCAAGGGAAGCCGCCCTCAAAGTGTGGGGGCCATGGAGGAAGGAAGGGAATGAGGTCTCCCTCAGATGCAATTTGATGCCCCATCAGGATTGCATCTTGGAGGCAAGGAGCAGCCTTCCAAGGAGGGGTCATGTGTTTTCTTGTGGTACTGGGGCTACAGGGCAAAGGGCACAAGGGAGGACAGCCAAACCCCAGAAAGTGCACAGGGACACCCCCACCCCACCCCCCGCCGGCCGCTTGGGGCCAGTAGGCCAGTCTAGAGAAAAGCACCCACACCTTCCAAGAAAGGGCTGCTCTGTTCAAGGACTAGGCCATTTCCCATAACTAGTCAGTCAGGGGGGAATTTTGTTCACGCCTCTTGTCATTGCTCTGGCTGGGGATGTCAAGTTTCTGATTCATCTCCAGACCGAAGAGGAATCAGATCAGCAAGGATGGAAGGGATCTGAGGCTGCCCCATGAGCCAGCTGCAGGTGAATTTTTCAGGGCCACGCCCTGCATGATAAGGGAGGTTAAGTTTCCACTCAAGCAGATGTTCACAAAATGGGTCTGGAATCCCATAGAACCTGTTTAGGGAAACTCTGGAGGAGACCCTAGGCCGTGACCTGTGGAAGTGGAGCCATCAGAGATGGGGAGCAGTGGGGGAGGACTATGCAGCAGCTGCATTTGGTCCCAGATTCCATTTCCATCTGTTTTTTCAGGTTGAGAGGCTAGAGGTCCACAGCTGGTTAAGCCAAAAACTTGTAAACCCCAAGTCTAGCAAAATGTTCGAAATGCTCAGCAAATCCCTGATGTTGGAAATCACTGTGGCCCCCGCCTTTTTAAATTTTTTATGTTTTTTTTTTTTAATTTATTTTTGAGAGAGAGAGACAGCGCAAGCAGGGGAGGGTCAGAGAGAGAGGCAGACACAGAATCCCAAGAGAAGCTCCAGGCTCTGAGCTGTCAGCACAGAGTGTGGCCCCTTTTTTTAAAAAGACTGTAAAGATTAAAACTCTAGGTGAAAGCTTTCCCCGACATTAATAGCTCCTTTTCAAATGGCATGTCCTGGAAACTAGAGAGCTGAGTCTCTGACTGGATTTGGCAGAATTTAAAACACAAGTGATTTGGGGCGCCTGGGTGATTCAGGCACCTGAGGTTCAGTCCGTTAAGCGACTGACTTCGGCTCAGGTCATGATCTTACGATTCGTGGGTTCAAGCCCCGCGTCTAGCTCTGTGCTGACAGCTAGCTCAGAGCCTGGAGACTGCTTCAGACTCTGTGTGTGTGTGTGTGTGTGTCTCTCTCTGACCCTCCCCTGCTCGCACTGTTTCTCTCTGACTCTCAAAAATAAGTAAAACACATTTTAAAAAATTTTTAAATAAATAAAACACAAATGATTTGTTCATTTATTCAGCATCTATTTCCTAGGCAACCTTTAGGTGCCAGGTACCCTGTTGGGATACAAAGCTGCGTCCTGCCTCATAGAGAGATTTATCTCAGTGGAAATCACGAGAACACAGACAGGAATTGAAGAGTGCCCTATGGGCAGAAATCAGGTCAGTGGTCACAGGGCCTGGATGTGGGGAGAGGAGGTTGAGTCCAAAGGGGTGTGAGGGAACATTTTAGGGTGATGGAAATAGTCCACATCTCTGATATGGTGGTGGTTTTATGTCTGTAAACGTGCACCAAAATTCATAGAATTGGAAGCCTTTCAAGGGTGAATATGACTAAATATAAATTATACCTCAACAGGGGCACCTGGGTGGCTTAGTCTGTTAAGCGTCCGACTTCAGCTCAGGTCATGATCTCACGGTTCTTGGGTTCAAGCCCCGCGTCAGGCTCTGTGCTGACAGCCGGCTCAGAACCTGGAGCCTGTCTTCGGATTCTGTGTCTCCCTCTCTCTCTGACCCTCCCCTGTTCATGCTGTCTCTATCTCTCTCTCAAAAATAAATACAACATTAAAAATTTAAAAAAAAAATTATACCTCAACAAACCTGACTTGTGGAAAAGAGATCTAAGAAATGTATGGACCAATTATACAAGTAAACATGTCTTATTTTATTTTGTAGAAATGACAAGACACACCTGGTACAAATACTTCAGAAACCAGCGGGTGGATGTTATTTGCACTTCTAGTAGAAAAAGAAATCTCAGTTAGAGATAGATTAATTTTACCACCAAGAATTGTTCTGGAAGAGCACCTGGATGGCTCAATCGGAAGAGTGTACAACTCTTGATCTGGGAGTCATGAGTTCAAGCCCCACATGGGGTGTAGAGATTACTTAAATAAATAAAAACTGAAAAAGAAAGAGGTATTCTGGAAAAAAGGAATGGGAGAGAACACTGGCTGTCTCTCAGTTGCCACGCAGCTGTGAAAGCAAACTGCTGGTAACAAAGCATTTGAGGAACAAAGAAGTGCAAACGACAAATCACTGATTTTATATTATTTAGAGCAAAGTTTATCTTGAAACCAAAATATCATCCTCCTTGCATTTTCTTCCTTTTCTTTATGTTTATTTATTTATTTATTTTTTTTTAAATGTTTTATTTATTTCTAGGAGAGAGAGAGAGAGAGACAGCGTGAGCAGGAGAGGGTCAGAGAGAGAGGGAGTCACAGATTNAATAAAAACTGAAAAAGAAAGAGGTATTCTGGAAAAAAGGAATGGGAGAGAACACTGGCTGTCTCTCAGTTGCCACGCAGCTGTGAAAGCAAACTGCTGGTAACAAAGCATTTGAGGAACAAAGAAGTGCAAACGACAAATCACTGATTTTATATTATTTAGAGCAAAGTTTATCTTGAAACCAAAATATCATCCTCCTTGCATTTTCTTCCTTTTCTTTATGTTTATTTATTTATTTATTTTTTTTTAAATGTTTTATTTATTTCTAGGAGATAGAGAGAGAGAGAGAGAGAGAGAGAGAGAGAGAGGAAGTGGGGGAGGGGCAGAGAGAGAGGGAGACAGAGGATTCTAAGCAGGTGCCACACTATCAGCAGAGGCCCTGATGCGGGGCCTGTAAAATAACAGCTTTATTGAAACATAATTCACATACCATAAAATTCACCTTTTGAAGTGTATAATGCAGTAGTTTTAGCATATTCACAGAGTTGTATATCTATCACCGCTATTTAATTTAAAAATTTCTTAATGTTTATTAATTTGAGACAGAGAGAGAGAGAGATGGAGCATGAGCAGAGGAGGGGCAGAGAGAGAGGCAGACACACAGAATCTGAAGCAGGCTCCAGGCTCTGAGCTGTTAGCACAGAGCCCCATGCGGGGTTCAAACTCATAAGCTGTGAGATCATGACCTGAGCTAAAGTCAGATGCTTAACCGTCTGAGCCACTCAGGTGTCTCACAACTATTTAACTTTAGCATATTTCATCACTCCAAAAGGAAACCCCATACCTTCTGCCAGGTCATATGGTAATGTTGTGTTTACCAGCGGTTGTGAGATGTTGTGAAAGCCCAGCAGTTAAAACTCCTCGTCCCTTTCTGGATACTCTACTTCAAATGCCCCTGGCCATTCCTCAAAGGTGACTTGTTTGCAGGCTTCCTAGCCCTGCGTCTCTTCTTGGGTTATACCAGTGTTTTCAAAACCACATTCCGTAAGGGGAGCTTGGGGGGCTCTGGTCATGATCTCACAAGTCGTGGGTTCGAGCCCCGCATCGGGGTCTGAACCTGGAGTATGCTTTGGATTCTGTGTCTTCCTCTCTCTCTCTCTCTCTCTCTTCCCCCCCCCTCCACTCTCTCTCTCTCTCTCAAAAGTAAATAAACATTTTAAAAAATCTTTAAAAATCCACATTCAGTTATTTGGGAAGCGTTGGGCTAAACACAGTAAAGTATGTTCCTTTGGCCAGGGTCTCATGTCTCAAAATTGTTACCTGGCCAATATTCTTTGAGAATCTCAAGAAGAATATATAGAATGCAGCTTTTCTCTAAATTCCTCTCCTCTCCTCCCTTCCCCAAATCCACCTGCTTGCAAAACTCCCTGTCTTGAAAAGCAGCCTCATCACACACCACGTTTCCCAAACCACAAATTGGGGCTTCACCCTTGATTCTTCTGCTTCTCTTAAGCCCATAATTCCCTGCAGACAGAATGAAGAGTATCCCTCATTGTAATGTTTATTTATTTACCAAATACTTACCAAGCACATTCTAGATAGCATCTGGCTTGGGAAGCTTACACTCTAATCTCAAGGATGGGACCCACACAGCCGAAAAGCTAAATAACAACCTGAGATGTATCACTAGGTAACAAATATGCATTACAGATAATATCATGCTGCAGGCTCGGTGAGAAACATCTTTGTGGGCTGAGAGGTCAGACGAGGAGTCAGGAAGTACTGTTCTGTTG